CTGCCCCTGGGCGGGAAACCGCAGCCCCGGGGGCCCTGCCCCGGGGCAGGAAACCCGCAGCCCTGGGGGCTCTGCCCCTGGGTGGGAAACCGCAGCCCTGGGGCCCTGCGCCTGGGCGGGAAACCGCAGCCCTGGGGCCCTGCGCCTGGGCGGGAAACCCGCAGCCCTGCAGACTGGCGCGGGCAGGGGCTGGCTCGGGGCACAGCAGGCCTCTGGGAAATGTCCTTTTCCTTCTCACTTTATGTCAGGGACGGAGGTCAGTCCGAGAAGGTCAGGTGCACGCCTAGGAATATACTCTGATTTACCTGCTGTGCTGACAAACTGGCCAGGGCAAGAAATTAAGAAAAGGAAATTACTCCGCAAGGGGTTACTTCAAAATCGAGGGCATTTCACACGGATGGCCGAAGAGTCGCGCGCACAGTTCATCGCATTCTGGGGGCCAGAGGTGCGGCATACGTACTTTCAGAAGGAGCTGGTACTTGGTTATCCGCTGAACCGGTTTGATCAGGTAGGAAGAGATGGAATTGGCTAGTCCATGCCGCTGCTGGATCTCCTGGATTAAAAAACAGAACAGAAGCCAGCGGGTCAGTGGCTCGGATTAAACATCGACAATTGTTCCCGACGACGAGCCGCGCACCGCCGTCTCTCCGCGGCGGGCGGAAATCACGACCCGTCCTTCAGTGCGCTGGAAGCGCAGTGATGACTCAGACGCGGGAGGTCACCGCTTTGACCGCAGACGACGGCGGAGCGGCGCGGCCTGGACGGGCCCGGGGCACAGCGGCGGGGGCTGGCGTGCTGCGTCTGCTCGGGGCTCTCAGCCGTCCCAGGGCGGGACCCCACGCGGCCTATGCGCCTGTGGCGTCTCAGCTTCAGCATTCTTGAAAGCAGAATCTTCCTCAAAGTCACCTGATGGCACGGGCGTCAGACGCGGCCTTCAGACAAGACCTGTGCGGAGCTCTCTGACGCGCCTTCCTGCCGCCTTCCCCGGCCGACCCCTGGGGGCTGGTGCCGGCTGGTGCCGGCTGCCCGGGCACAGAACCCTCCACGGTTCCGGGGCTTGGCCGCCTCGCCGTGAGTGGGGCAAATCTTGGGGTGTTCTGGATACCTGGTTTCGACATGATTTCCAACACCTGAGATTTCGAAACACCGACCTCGCCATTTCTGTTGACACGTTCGCCTTTCCACAGGGTTTTGTGATTCAAAATGGCCACCAGGTCACGGCGTCTTTCGCAAATATCCGACCAACGTTCAATCCCGGGGAACCCACGCAGTCCCCCTTAACCAGCTTCTGGCATTTTCCCTCGGGGTGCAGGGTGGGGACCCGCCAGCTCCCTGGCCGCCACCCCCACGGCCTCTGCGGCGCGCACGCTGCCTGCGTCGTCCTCCGCGCGGAGGGGCTGCCTGGGCTGAAGCCCCTCGCCCACGCGGCTCTGTTCAGCGCACTCAGGGGCGCGTCTGTGAAAGGCGAAGCGAGCCCCGATCTCCCGCACCCTTTGAGATGGCAATGTTGGCTTCAGCTACGCCCAAGACCGAGGGTCTGACATACTGAGAGGGAAACAGAGCTGGTGCCGGTGCTGTGACCACACGCTGCATGTGGAGTGGCCGCCCGGTCACTGGGGACACCTGGGCGTCACCTGCAGGTAGCACCTGGGCTCAGGGGCGGAGGCCCAGCTCTCGCCGAACTTCCCAGGGTTCCGGGAAAGAGCAGGCTGCCGTGCTCGGCCACGCACCAGTGTGGAGACAGACTACGCCTGATTCCACGGCGGTGCCGGGGAGGCCCCCTGCAGGGCCCTGGCCTGTCGTCACGGAGCTCGTGGACGCTTCACCCACCTCCTGAGGTACTCGGTAACTTCCAAAGCTGACGAGCGACGCCTATGTTTACACCAGTGGGCATTTACAGCCTGTTACAGAACTGTTTTGCCGGCTTTTACCAGAACACCTCTGATGAAAAAGAATCATCGTGACATTAAAATGGGAAAAGGGAATCTTTTAAAAAACGGCAAGTTACTTCGTTTTAGAGGAAAAGAGGCCTCCTTTACCAGTTTGCACCTTCCGTGCACAGCACCACGCATCAGCATGAGTAACAAGCAGTAGCAAGGGCAACGTGTGCCTACACAAGCCCACACGCGCACGGGCACACCAGCACCCGAGTTTCCTGCAGCCAAAAGCTGCAGTGCTGGAGACGGAGCTTTCAAAGGCAGCCAGAAAGAGCGTCCCGGGCATATTACACAGTATCACAAACGTGATAGCTTAAAAATGAATGCGAGCTCGCAAAGCTCACGGCTCGCTGGGCGCGGATCACTCACATCAAAGTAGGAGCCCGCGTGTTCCAGGATCAGCTGGGTGGAATCAGGCTTGTTTTTGCAGTAGGTGACGTACATCTGAAACTTGTCTGCCTGTAAATGAAAAAAGAAGTTAGAATGTTTCAAATGGCATCAAATCACACCGGTAAACTTTCTGTAGAAGGTTGTGAGGATAACGGAAATGGAAGCCCTAAATAAAAGAAACCTTATTACATACAAATCCTCATTGCACACACCCCTCCTGCTGATACCCTTCAGGGCCGCTGCCCTGCCAGTGGGGCTGGGCACCCTGTCTCCCTTCGCACAATGGAGGGTGAGGACCCGGTCAGCTCCTGGCAGCACACACCGTCACCGGAGCTCCTGTCTGCATCCCTGTCCAGCATCTCTGGGCCCCCCGGCCTGGCTGGGGCTTCATGGGGCTCCCGGGGCCAAGCCAGCGGACACACTGCTGTCCTGTGTCAACCGTCACTGAGCTCACAAGACCAGCTCTTCGCACCGCAGTAACTGGTCGGAGAAGCAACGCAGAGGGAAGCCCGCCCCTCCATACACGGCCCCAGCAGAAAACGGAGACACAGAAGACACGGCCCGTGTTCCTCCCACTGTCCTCGGGTGCCCCAGTCCCCGTGAGAACAAGGAGCCGAGTGTCATTACCCAAGTGACAAAGCAATGCCCAACGTCCTCCGGCAACTGCTCGTATTTCTCCAGCTCTTTCAGGAATATGCTGCGAGAAGGAAAACATGACCGTACGTGAGGGGGTTTTAGCCTCTCGCATCTCGCGACGGGCCAGAAACCAGGTCAGGCCGCATCTCGTCATCTCAGTCAATGCAGCGAAAGTCTGCGCCTTTCAATGTTAAGTCCCAAGACACCCGTAGCTCCTCTTCGAGAGGGTGGGCGCGGGGCTCTGACACAGCTCCCTTAAACACCTGCTCGCGGAAATTTCAGCGGGGCCGCTGCCTTCCAGGAGGGCGCTGGGTGTGGCATTTCGGGCGGCACGTCCGGTCGGGGGAAGCCCTGTAGCACGTGGGTGCTCCTGGCTGGGCGGGGGGAGGGGGGGCAGGCCAGGGAGACCCCGCCACGGGCGCCAGCAGCATCTCCCCAAGGCTGCAGGCTCTCCCTGGGGCGCAGCCCCTCTGCGGCCAGGGCGAGCTCGCTCCTGCTGGGCTTACATCTCCACTCCTGCCTCCCACTCACGAACAAGATCAGCGTCAGCCAGCAGCCCCAGGAGGGCGCTTCCGCCGGGCTACTAGCCACCGGAGGCCTCGGGGTGCTGATGGGAGAAGGCGGGGTCCCGGCAGCTTCCTCACCTTCTCTGTGAGAGTGGGCCTAACTCAGTCGCGCCTGTACCACTGCTGAGTGGAGAGGCAGCTCGTTCGAGGCAAGCCCTGCAGGCTTCCTCCCCACCAACCAAGCCGGGGAACCCGTGCTCTGCTCAGAAACTGCGTCCTCACGCAACGCCACGCGCCCCACGAGCGGCGGCCGCCCCCCGCCGCGCTCACTTGTTGTGAAACTCGTAGATCTCCTGCATGTTCCCGAAGATGATGAGCTCCTTGTTGACGATGCCCGGGGGGATCTCCTCCACGCCGCTGGTCATCTCCCACAGGTAGGTCTGGGGGGACAGGACAGCCTCAGACCCGCGCCCACCCCCTTCCCGAGAGGCGGGCGCTCCGGACGTCTGGAAACGCAGCCCCAGAGGTGGGAACGGAACCTCTCCGAAGCGTAAGAATAGCGCTTTACCCAAAGCCGACAGCTCGGCTCCTGCCGGGTTTTGCAGCAACGAGTCTGCTCCGGGCTTTGAATTCTGGGCTCAGCCTCCCCTGTGGGGTCCACCAGAGCCACCATAAAGGCAGCTGCCCAGCACAGCAGTAGGCACACTGTCCCAAAGCTGCTGCCAAATTCCCTGCGAAGGGCCGGCTGGCGGGGCGGGCCCGGACGCGGGGCCGGGGCCAGATCGGGCCATCCCGAAACAACAGGGCCCGGCCTGCAGAGGGGCCGGCCGGCCAGTGCCCGCTCTGCCACTCTCGGCTCAAAACAAGAAGCGTGAGCATGTTGGGAAGAAACGCCGAGAGCGAGGGTGAGACGCGAGCTCCCACCGCGCGGGGCAGCGGCCCGCAGCACTCACGTCCATGCACTCGCGGAGGTCCCGGACGTAGGCCTTCTCCGTCTGGATGAGCTCGGCCATGATGAACCTGGACCGGAGCGAGGGGGCGGTGAGTCCGCCGAGCACAGCCCGGCGCCTACCTGGGGCCCGCGGCGCACTCAGCGCGCTAAAGCCCCAGCCAGTGACCGCGCTGGAGCCTTAACTAGGAACAGCCACGCAGCAATGACAGCATCCAGCCACCAGCTCCAGGGAGGACGGATCTTGCTGAGGTTCCCCAGACCCCGGCTCTCAACTCAGCACTTCTGACACGGGGCGCTGGCCCTGCGCTTGGGGGGTAGCAACATCCGGGGTCTCTACCTGCTAATGTCAGTTGCATGCCTCCCCGGGGCCCCAGGTGGCACCCCCGAGTGTCCCCGCACCCTGCCAAATGCCCTCGGGGGGGACACAACAGCCCCCGACTGAGGACGACTGGCTTAGAGCCCCCCTCTCTGTAAAGGGCTGGGGGTTCCCTAACTGAGGGGCATGTGTGTGCTGTCACCACTGGTGGCCGGCTGGACCAATGACCCGTGATGACCCGTGTCACAGGTGACTGACAGCCTGCCCGCCACCCAGGACGCGGGCGGGGCACCGAGGCAGCAGGGCACACACATCTGGCCTGGGCCCAGCGCAGTGGAGGCCGAGGACGGACCCGCTTCCAGTGGCCGCGGGTTCCGGGGCGCCGCTTACTCTTTCCTGCGGGCAGATTTCCGCTTTTCTTCGTTGAGCTCGTGAGCGGCGTCCCGAAGCTTCACCTCGGACCCGGGGATGCTGGCGGGGATGATGTCGAGCTGGAGGCTCTTACTCTGCGGAGCGAGAGCCGGAGAACTGCGGTTGGCGGGGCCGGCGGCGGGACCCGCGAAGGCGCGGACCGTGGGGGGGACCAGGGGGCGGGACCCGCGAAGGCGCGGACCGTGGGGGGG